CAGGATTCCAAGAGATTAGCAGCTGCATATTGCTGCTAACTGTGAAGGGACAATTTTGTTTTCTGTGTAGATAACAATAACATTTCTATGTGAAGCAGTCTGGTGAGGTGGATAGAGAGCCTACCTTAGAGCTGGGAAGGCTGGCTTAAGTCCAGTCTCCGACGTACCGGCTGTAGGACCCTGAGCAGGAAGACATTTAACTTTACAAAGTTCTAGGCAGCACTCTGAGACTATAAATGGCACAGAAAGGATTTCCCTGTGCTCACTGGTACAAAGTGATCCTTCATCCAGGAGCTCACTATAGATATATAATTCCTAGTCCACGCCCTATCTCTTCTCTACATATACAACAGTGTCTTGAGCTGTATAAAACACTTGCTTGTGACAATCCTATGCCACTCATTAACTGTGTGAACTTGAGCAAAATCACCTCCCTTTCCTGAGCCTTAGTGTCCTATTCTGTAGATGAAAAGAGAAGGGTACACATTTCAAAAAAGTAGTGCAAGGATCTCATTCTTACTTTACAGATGAGGAAACTGAGCCACAGAAGCAAAATGATTAGCTGATATTCACTCAAGTGTGTCAGAAGCAGGATCAAACCCAGATCTCTTGTCTGCAAATCTAGCATCCTTCTGATTAACTACATACACACACACACACACACACACACACACACACACACACACACACATATATATCACACTGTCCTTCCACTTACATTTTGTTTTGATTCCATTATTCAAATTCAATTTGGCAAACACTGATTAATCACTTGCTGTATATAATTCTGAGAGACACAAATTGAACCAGTTCATGTCATAGTGAACCATTTCCATTACCAAATGACACTTTTCCTGATCTTTGCCTACAAAATATATACTTCAAAATTGTGAGAGTGATTTTGTGAGTTGAGGAAGCATTTTAGAAACAAATAAAATGTGCACAGTTTAGGTTTGCTTTGGGGTTTTTTTTCCCTGAGAAGAAAAAAAGGAATGGGAACTGAAAGGTGAATTGAAGAGCCTAGGACAAAAAAAGGAGAAAATGGGTTTTTTTCAACTGGGTAACAGGACCAGACTGAAATGATCCTAAAAAATAAAGACAGTGTTAATGGGGCAAAGGGGTATTTAGAATACAAGTATCCCCCGCAATAAAAATAATCTTTAAGGAGGGAGAGTAGGGAGATAAGAGGCACAGAGACAGACAAAACAAGATGTAGCTTAAACAAACCAGTCTCCACAAGGTTTTATGATGTGGCAAACAGTGGCTTGGAGTTCAGTGCTTTGGCTTACTGTGACATTTAACAAAACATAAGGATTGCCTCTTCTAATTCTTTTTTGTTTCTTTCTCTCCACCCCTTGAAGACATTGAGAAAACAAAGGAGCCAGTTCGGTGCCATGAACAAATGGGAAGATGAGAAATAAGAGAGAGCCTGCCTCTGGTTTTAATACCAAAGTGAACCACTGAACAATCTCCTGACATCTGGAAGCAAACTGTTGACATTCAACCCAGAGGAATGTAAATTGTAAGCCCCAAAAGCTGACCTTGAAAAGCCATTCACTCCCAAAGTACTCTAACCAGATATGGGCATCCTGTGGGGTTAGAATTGTCAAGAATGCAGACACCCTCCTAGTGATGGGGGAAAATCAGTCTACTCCTACACTGAAAAAATAACACAGATCAGAGATCCTAAAAAGCTCTTCTTCCTACTCTCCCCCCACCCACTGTGAGTTGTGATAAAAATAAAATCTACTTCTCAGATACCAATCTGTTCTCACTACTTCTCAAAGCTAAGAAAATAATTATGCAGTGTGGCGCGGTAGAAAGAGAACTGGGCTTCGATTCAGAAGTTTTGGGTTGAGTCTGAGCTCTCCCACTTACTGCTCATGTTACATAGCTAATTGGCTTTATGTTCTCAGATCCTCCGTTTTATCACCCGTAAATAGAAATTGTTATTATTTGCATGGCCTACATCACAGAGTTGTCACTTTTTAAACTAGAAAATGCCATATAAATGTGTTACTATAATTAAAATACTACAAAATACCATACTAATGCTATAAATAAAAACAATAATAGTTTTTTTTTTCACTTAAGTCCTCCTTTACATATACTTTGAGGAGGTCAAAGACAGATGCAAATATCTAATATAGACCCCAAAAAATTATAGAGATATTTTTGTAGTTACAAAGAATTAGGAGAAAAAGTGTGTGCCTATTGATTGGGGAATGGCCAAATAAATTGTGGTGTGTAAATTAATGGGATATTATAAAGTCAAAAAGAAAAAAGATAATAATTCAGAAAAACTTAGGAAGATTCTTACACATTGATACTGAACAAAGTAAGAAGAACCTGGAGAATTTACAGAAGGAACAAAGTAATGTAAAGGGGAAAAAAATACTGAAAGACTTGAGAACTCTGATCAGTGCAGAGCCAACTAAGACTTCAGTGGACTGATAATGAGAATAGCTCTTGCCTCTCAATGGACAAGTGGTAGAATATAGGTATAAAAGAAGACATATATTGTCAGACATGTTTACCTGCATTTCTTTGTTAAAAGGGAGGGGTAGGGAGAACCACTGGGAATGGCAGCAATGAGGGTGCAGGATGACTAAAACTTAAAAAAAATAGAAAAAAATTAAAAATAAAATCCTTCTTTAATGCCTCATCATGGTGTGAAAGGAGCTCTGGGTTCCTAAAGGTTCCACCAATGAAGAAGGCCTTACCAAAATGAAAAAATTGCAAGCCTGGTCTTGATGACAGAATGTTTGTTATATGACGACCACTGTGGCAAGTTCAAAGAGATTTATTAACAGCCTGGCCCCAGACTGATAAATTTTCTAGTCATGGCAACTTCTAAAGACCCCCTACCAATTTATAGACAAGTTCTGATAGCATCAGGAGAGGGAATACCCACACTAACAAAAATCACAGATCATTGGAGTACTGAAGCACCAATAGTAATAGTCTCCTGAGCAAGGAATTCGTCTAAGTTTCCGATACAGTCTATCCAACAAAAGCTGGCTAGTACTGGGAATGTATTCCCCCTATGAGAAGAAATAATGGTCATACACCTTCATTAGTGAAGTCTTGTCAAATGATTTCCAAAAGATTTTTGGCTAGCTGAATACAGCCCCAACATTTTGTTGCCAACACTAACCAGTACTGTATCTCATTAATTTGTGGCCAAGTCTTAAGCATTGTAGAGAGATCCACCAATTGCATCCAGATCCTGTCAAGGCCAGGCAAAACAAAATCATAAAATGCAAAAGCAGGAAGTTACCTTAGGAAAAAAAAATTAGGAATGGACATCAGGGAATCATAGGATCTTAGAGACTTCAAAAGCCAACCTCCTCATTTTATAGGTGAAGAGCTACTAAGACCCAGAAAGGTTATATAACCACAGTAGGACCCTGCAGATAAAGAAGCCCAGAAAGGTATGGCCAAGGTCACTTAGCTACCATGTAGACAACAAGCTAGGACTTAAATACAGGTCTTCTGATTCTTAGGGCAATAGTAAATATTAATAATATTATTTATTCACATAAGCATAAAATCAATATTTCTAAGTCCAGTTTCCTTTCAAGGACTGTGCTTTCTCTAATTTGCAGGAGTAATTTAATTATGAATATTCTCAGTTATTACACAACTAAAGCTCTCTTGTTGGTATAAGAAAAAGCTGATAGGTGAAATCCAAGGCCCAGAAAGGTTCAAAGTTGATATAAATCCAAATCTATGTTTTGTGAAGGGGAGGAGTACTCAATGTTACACTGCTTAACCCCAACTTCATGCTACCCAGTAAACTCCCCAAACTAATGGACATCAGCTTTTCATTTATTATCATAACAATATTATCAGGGGCAGCTAGGTGGCGCAGTGGATAGAGCACCAGCCCTGAAGTCAGGAGGACCTGAGTTCAAATCCTGCCTCAGTCCAAACACTTGACATTTCCTAGCTGTGTGACCCTGGGCAAGTCACTTAACCCCAATTGCCTAAAAAAGCAAAAAAGAAAACAATATTGTCTAAAATATCCTAAAATTGTCAAATAAAATTTTAGCAAACAGCATATTTAACAAATAGCATTTTAACAAACTATACTTTTAAATAATTTATTTGGGGTTCTACTCCATTGGACCCACATATTTTAGTAGCAATAAATCTCTCTCTATAATCTGTACATCCAAGAGCATTCTTAGGCCACACCAATCAAAAACAAGCCAAAAGGAAAGCCTTGATTAAACACTAACTGTCTCTTCCAATGGCAGTCTAAGGAATTATGTTTGACATAAAAATCCAACATCATAAATTCTAGGCGCAGCTAAAAGACAAGAATAATAAAAACAATATTTTTTCGTGGAATTAAGCTTAATTCTTTCAGTAATTAAGTAAATTTTGAAGCTTTCCACAGGCATTAAGACCAATTTAATTTCAATTCGGATAGCTTTTCAGTAGCTAAGGGCTTCTTGTTTTTTCTAGGTAATTTCTAGATGACCTCAGCACTACTTATCCCAAAGAGAAATCACCTCGGGTGTTTGACCAAGTTTTGCTGTCAATCACTGAGAAAAAATAAACAAAAGTCACTTTGAGACAGAAAAAGTGTTAACATTTCTGACACATCCAGATGAAAATATTTAAAACCCCCAAAAGAGAGATCTAAAATATAGCTTAACAATAGTATAATTAACACATTCTGCCTGCATAAACTATACTGGTCAAAAAGGTGTATGTTTTCTCTTTTAACTTTATAGTAATCTTCTGGCCTTCCAATTTTGCTGATCCAGGAAAAGTGGTCTGATAATGCTTATGTCACTTTTCTTTCTAACATTTCAATCGGTTTTGTTTTGTTTTGTTTTGTTTTTTACCAATTTTTGGACATGTTCTATGCAAAGAAGAAAAGGAAAAGTTTTGAGAATTTATCACCAGTGCCTTTCCATTTTTTTTACTAATTATTCAAATTTAAAATACATGCATGTGCACATAGGATATATATCATATTCTCCTACCTTCTAGGGATGAAAGCTGTTGCTCAGCTTCCAAGTATAACTGAGAAAAAACTGGCCTGGGAACCAAGCTGTTGGACCGCAGTGAGGCCTCAATGGAATTATGTAAGACTTCTTCAAAACGGGTGGTCTTCAGCTGGCCGGCATAAGAATTTCCCATCTTCTGAAAAAAGGATGAATTAAAGAAAATTTATGTTCAATTTCAGTTTCCAGAAGGGATGATGCCTATAGAGCTAAAAATATACAAGGCAATCCTGCTCCTAAAGAAGGGGGCAGAGCTGCATTGTCTCCAATGGTAAGAAAAGGAAAACTGACAGTCTTCACCCAGCAGACTCCCCTCCGCCCCCAAACCCTCAGCCTGGTAAATTACAGGAAGTTATATAAGTAACAGCTTTCCATTATTCAATGGAGGCAAAGAGGAGTCTGACACTTTTAAAAATATTTTACTAGAAACTGGGTTCTTGTAATTCCCGAGTTTAATATGCTTCATGACATTTCCCAAAGATGCATTCCTGTATGGAAGAAAGAACATCACTACCCAATAACCTTTTTTTTTTAATTTCCATAACCTAAAACAGACACTCTTTAAGAATTCAGAAGAAAAGATACTTTTTGTATGGGAGTAGCAGGCAATTAGCAATTCAGAGAACCATCTGCTCTCCCATACTACTTTAAAAGAAGTCTCCAACTCAAAAGGCTAGGGAACAGATAATCTATGAACACATTTTCTGCCAAAAAAAATGAAATAAAATAAAATAGACTGTTAACTTCTAATATCATATGGGAAGAACAAGGTGTTGAATATGTAGGGATAGGGACTGAGCCTGTGATTTCATTGCTACAGAGAACTCTTGGATATTAAGAGTTTTACCAAGACGGTTACCACCTTCCAAGAATTACCTAGAACGCTGAGAAGGGTTAAGCCATTTGCCCATATCTCACAGTATGTGTGGGAGGTAGAATTTGAACCCAGGTCTTCTTATCTCTACAGCCAGCTGTCTTTCTACTAATAATGCCACCCTACCTCTTCTTTGCCTCTCATGTGAAGAAATAAAGATAGAAATGTCTGTCTTTAATTGTGGTGTGTGAATGTAATGGAATATTATTGTACCATAAAAAAATGAGATATTTCAGAGAATCCTGATGTGAACTGAAGAAAAACGTAGGAGAATGACGTAAAGAAGAACAACTTTGAAAGACTTAACAAGTCTGATCAATGAAATGTCCGAACATTTCCAGACAACTATGATAAACACAAGATGCAGAAATGTACATTTTTAAGCTTTTATTATTTTATTATCCCCAGTTATATGTAAAAACAATTTTTAGCATTTGTGTTTTTAAAACTTTGAGTTCCAAATTCTCTCCCTTCCTCCCCCTCCATGGAGAAGTCAAGCAATTCCATATAGGTTGTACGTGTGTAGTCATACAAAACATATTCACGTTAGTCATTTTGTGAAAGAAAACAGATAAAAAAAAACTCAAGGAAAATAAAGTTTAAAAAGTATGTTTCAATCTGTATTCAGACAACAATGTTTCTTTCTCTGGGGAAGGATAGCATTTTTCATTATAAGTCCCTCAGAGCTGTCTTGGATAATTATATTGCTGAGAATAGCTAAGTCATTCACGGATGATCATCTTACAACATTGCTGCTACTTTGTACACAGTACATTTCACTTTGCACCAGGCCATGAAAGTCTTTCCAGGTTTTTCTGAGAGCATCCTGCTCATCATTTCTTATAGTACAATAGTATTCCACCATAATCATATACTACAACTTGTACAGCCATTCCCCAATTGATGGGCATCTCCTCAATTTCCAATTCTTTACTCCCAGAAAAGAGCTGCTAAAAATATTTTTGTACATATAGGTCCTTTTCCTTTTTGTTTTTTATCTTTTTTGGGATACAGACCTAGTAGCGGTTGCTAGGTCAAAAGGAATTCATGGTTTTATAGCCCTTTGGCCATACTTCCAAATTGCTCAGAGATGTACATTTTCACCAAGGCCACTACATAACTAGTCTTATCTGTTACAAGGTTTGGTTGAGGGGAGAGAGAGGATGGAGGAGACAATTACGTTGCCAAAAAAAGGAAAGTTATAGAAACATTTTTTTTAAATTCACAGAAGAGAACATGAAGTTGAGAAGAAAATGCAGACAAGCAGAATTTAAAAAGCAAACAGTATAAAATGGAGATTGACAATCCTAAATGCTTTTTTTTAGTGTTTAAGTTCAGAATTTTGAAATTAAATTAAAAAGAAATTATAATTTACATACTCATGGCATGTCTGATGTACAAAGGCAGTGTTTTATGATGGGAAGAGTATAGGACCTGTACTCTAAAGTCCTGGATTCACGTCCTACCTCCAACTTCTCCTGGCTTGGAGCCAGCTATGAGAGCATAGGATAAAATGCTTGGCCTGGAATCAGAAACACCCAAGTTCCAAATCAGCCTCAGATATTACTATGACCCTGAAGAAATCACTTAACTTCTGATTGCCTTCATTTTCTCAACTACAAAATGAGGGTAATAATAGGATTGTCGTTAAGGATCAGATTAGATAATATTTATAAAGCTCTTATTTAGCACAGTGCCTGACACACTGTAGGTGCTTAATAATTGCTTATTTCCTTCTCTTCCCCTGTGTGACCTGGGCAGGTCATTTAATCTCATCAAGCTTTATATTCTTCATCTGTAAAATGAGAATAATAGTATTACCCAATACCTGCCTCCTGGGTTGTTGCAAGCAAAGTGCTTTGCAGAGCTTAACACTCTATAGAAGATCATAGGATCTGACACTCTAAAGAATCTTATAGATCATCTCTGCTAACATCTTCATTTTTACAGATAAAGAAATTGAGGCCCAGAATGCTCTGAATGAATCAGAATGAACTGCAGATTTAAGAGCAGTACACTATCATAGAGGTAATCTAGTTTAACCACCTTATTTTATAGATGAGAACAACTGAAGTTAAGTGACTTGTTCATTAAGTAATGTGCCCACAAGATGCATGTAATAAGTAGCAAACACAGGATTCTAACTGAGGCCTTGTCACTCCAAACCCTACACTCTAACTACTATATCAGGATGTTTTTCAGTCATGCATTGAAACCACCATGAAGGGATAGAAATACTCAAACCCCTAACCTGGAATCAAAAGCCTTATGACATAGACTAGATGGTTATTAAACTGATTCACAAGGGAAAAAATATCTATCAGTTCTCTATAGCCTCATTTATAACAAATATTTGCCCTTAAGGAATTCTTTGCCCAACTGAACCCTTAAAGAAGACACTCATAGTCATGCCCCATTTAGATCTGGTTTCTCTTAAGTAGTAAAATGAACTGGTGTAAAATCACATTAACTTTCTCCTCACCTCATAAAGAAGGTTTTGCCCTTTCCTCTTCTAACTAAAAGTAAATGGACCCCATTAAATACTTCCTGCTTGCTGTAATAACTCCTGACCACAGGGCCCCCCTTTTCAACTCCTGGTTACAGCCTGGGGAAATGAGCTGTCTGGAAAGGACTCCTTCAGAAATTAGCCCCAAACAAAAGGGCAGTTCTCTTGAACGAATGAGGTCAGCTTAAGCAAGCAACCTGTTAGCCATAGAATCCCAGAGTCCACTTCTGAGCCTTTTTCTTCCCTTGTTGCATATTTTAATATCTACTGGAATTGATCTACCATTTGGGGGCAGTGTCTCCACTGTCAGGACAGGATAATATCTAAAACTACCATTGATTAATAACAATACCTGCCCTTGTCTAAAGCAATAACGTCAAACTCAAATAACCCTGTTGGTTATGTATTGACTTAGAAAATCACAAATTAACATTATCTTAATTTATTTTGTTAAATATTTTCTAGTTACATTTTAATTTGGTTCTGCCCCAGTTGAGTTTCATGAGTTGAGTTTGATATCTCTGGCTCTAGAGCATCTTTTATGCCTTAGAATTCCATGAATTTTTCAGAAGTGGTCTGGCTTTAAAGAGAATAACCTGTTAATTCATGCCATTTGATGAGAAGAAAGCAAGAAGGGCATCTACATCCCTTATTTACCATATGGGAAATGGGGGGGGGGGAAGTAATGTATTAACAACATCACTTTAAAATCATGTCTACACAAGGAAACAGGCAGGATGCACCTGCATGGTTCTTATTTGGTTTGTTTGTTTATTTTTATGCCCAACCCATTCATTCTCTGCCAAGGCTTGTTATTTGGAGATAAAGGAAGAAAGATACCAATAAAAAATAAAATATCTTTAGACTTACTCAAGCGGATATGTGATTTCGTACAACTAGATGTTCCCTCCGATGGAGCAGATTGAGATAGAACCTTGCCTACCTGACCTGTGAGTGACTCTCATCCATACCCTCCCTAAAGTTCCACACAAAGGCCCTACCCAACGTTCTGGGAGCCTTCCTTGTTATTCCCTGGCATTACAAGGGCACCAGTGGAGTAATCAGGCTGCCAACTTGTCATTCCCCCACCCTCACCATGTGAACAAATCATCTTTTCTCTCTGTCATGCGTTACTCCAATTGTGCCCTTTACTCTTATTCTTCTTTGAAATTGTCTCTTGCTCACACCATGCCTCTTTCCATTGCCTATGTCTAATAATTATTTTCAATTCTTTGGAGATTGTTGTACCCTATGTCTCACAGTCACACACCACCACCAGTAGAATATTGGTATTAAAAATATGAATCTTTGTTTCCAAGAGAAGCTTTGGTTCATTAAGTGGTCTTGCAATTTACTGCAGACAATCCAACCCACTCTTCTATTCAATTCTGGGCTCAATTTGCTAATCACTTTCACTGTGAATGCCATATTCTAGGCAATAGGCATTCTTCATCTGCATGATCTTTCCTATGTAGATGGTAAGACCAAACTCTTGAGTATTTATTACTCTCTTCCTAGAAGCCCTGCAGTACTCTAGGGCTTCAAGCAACCAGCATTATCATCTTCCAATAAATAGGAGCATTTGGAGGACTTCACTTTCCATAACAAATCCCTCTTCCTCTCAGACTCAGAATTGAATATCCTCCATCACAGTGGCAAATATCTTTGGCATGCATACCTCTCCCTGTTTTGTGCCTGACCTGATGTTTATGATCAAAAGCTATTTAAAGAGGATTATTTCTATTGTTATATCTTTCAA